ACATGATTTCTTCCACATTTGGGACACTCTTGTGTGTCTGGTTTTACTGTAGATAGAACTGATTTTCCTTAACAGTGATAAGATAGTTCCAAAGAACAACAAGAGGTTTGACAATATAGTTATTATGAAGTAATTCTAAATTCTGTGATTCTAACTGATTTTGTGAGATATAAAGATAATGTACAGAAATGTACAAAAATACAATAAACAATGCATATCATCACCCAGTCTGCAAGTCAATTAAACATTTTAGGCAGTATTCTTTTGATATATTTTCAATAGAGGTTTGAACTCCTTGCAATACTTGAAATGTGAATTTTTTACCAGTATGGCCGAATTTACATTATTTTTCAGTATACGAGTGAGTGATATCCATATGCTCATCCAAAATCCCACAGAAAACACGTTAATGGTTACACATGTTGTGCAATATAAGATCTGGTTTCTAATCTCCATAAAGTTGTTTTATTTGTGATTTTCGCGAGTTCTGTCGATAGGAATGGCCTTTGAAGGTTCAATATAGTTTATTTGCTACTACAAGATGGCTAAATATGGTACTTGTCTGTAGTGTTGTATAAACACAGTCTGGTCAGCCCCCTAAACTCGGCATTTTGTGGCTGAACAATACTCAGATGTGACTATGCAGTCACTTTTATAGAGAAACTGGATCTCGGCAATCAAGTTTTTTTTTTTACAAACTGTGCTTGATGAAAAGTTCTACCAGACTGTTAAAAGATCACGTCAAACAGTTTAGTAACGTTATGCTTTCGCAGAACGACATGATTGGTAACTTTCATTATGAAATAATGGAATATGTTTTGATTATTTATTGAATTTGATATATGAGTTTATAACTTTGCCAATGAAAGGAATGATAAGAACTAGTGGATATTTTGAGACAGTGTGTAGCTTTGGGGTAGGTTCTATTTTATTTGTTAAAATTTTTTGTGTGATAGAGTGTAAGAAATTAAGGGGATAACCATTATTTTGTAATATGTCGCCCCCCAGTGGCACAGCGGCATGTCTACGGACTTACAACGCTAGAATCCGGGTTTCGATACTCGTGGTGGGCAGAGCACAGATAGCCCATTGTGCAGCTTTGTGCTTAACTTCAAAGCTACAAACAATAAACAAACAGTTAAACTATATCAAAACAACAACAAAATAACAGTTTTAAGTAAATTATAAAATCAATGGGTGATTAACACCCAAGTACAATAAATGTTGCATGAGGAATGTAATGAAGTACATACAATAAAAACAAAACATATATGTTGAAACTCAAAATGTCCCAAGCCCTTATACTATTCACTCTGTTTGGACAGTAAGCCTTTAAGCATCGTGGTCACAGCTAACTGTGGACAATGAATAAGTACAACTCGAAATATTTAGAGTTTAAGCACCTGTATTTCATCCCCTTACTGAGTGTTAAGTCTGTTAGTTCTTCACTTTGTTTGATGAAGCAGGATAATCCTTTCGCGTTTTAAGTGAAATTACTGCAGCTTTATGTCTTTTGAATTATATCAGTTCTCTACAGCGATGTAGATCAATTTTTATACCATGTGTGATATCTATTAAATTTATATGTTTACGTATGTGTACTTTCATATATATGTGTTAGGAAAATATCCAACAAGTAAATTCTTTATTAGCATTAGCTGCTTAGAATCATTACATTTGGTATGAATTATAAGGTTTTGTAGTTTCTTTCAAATTATTATTACATATTTCGTTTTTACTTGTGGAATAACCACAGCGAGCCAGAAGATCATAAACAGTCTTACTTATTCCAAATATGGTCATTTCAAAAGAACGAAACACAATTTAACTAAGAGTTGCAGTTTGATAATAAATGTTAAGGATTAGATGAAAGATTTAGAATGTTATTTTCATAAAACTTTGTGTTCAAGTTATACTCTTTTAGTGATTGTTAACTTTTCAATATTTCTAGAAAGCCGATTACTTTTTTAGAGTAATGTCACATTTGAAGAATAAGTTCACCATTTCGTGTTCGTATGAAGAAAATAATACAGAGTCTTTTCTTTATATTTGCCTATTATGCTCAAATATGGAAGCAACTTTGAAAAAAAAAGTATTTTCAAGATTTTGTGAATTGGGAGAATTCTTTGGTTGTTATTATTAAACATCTTGTATTTTAATAACATTTTCTAATCATTTTAAATTTTGACAAAAACATGAACTAGATTTGAACAAGTAATATCTGACTTATCGGCAGCAAAAATGGTAGGGTGCTTTATAGAAACCATATACGACATTTATTCTTTTTTTTTTCTGAAAAATATACAAGAATATGCATTATTCTATGAGGAATCCAGAGGTGTATACCGATCTATAACTGGATAACATCCAAAGATTTTTGTCGATAGAGTTGGATGATTTTTTTACCTTAATCTAGGCAGTGGTCGTGGCATTATTATAGTACATTATCTAACACTCTTCATTCCAAAACGTTTTGTAAAACCTATGAAGAACTACTGAGGCACAAAGCCAGAATCTCTTGAGTTTTCGTTCTTGTTGAGATGGAAACGAAGTCGAATTCAAAGTAGCAAAATGTCGGAGGTGTGAATGCGATTACGATGACACACCAGTTGCTGAAAATATAGTCGTAAGAGAGGTCAGATAAGCTTCGGCGGAGGAGGTGCTGTTAAGGTGTTTGCGTGCAGGATCGGTAAACTTACAAATGTATCCAACGGCTTCACATGTTGAGGAGAACAGAAAATGTTGAAGATCAGATCAGTAAGGATAATACGAAGACTTTACCTGAGTGAAGTGCAAGAACATTAGAAGGAAACGAGTAGATTAAAATAATGACAAAATAACATGTAGTTGACTATCTTTAGTAGGATAGGAACACCCTAACGATTTCTCGGATCAAAGAAAACAGCACGGCAAAACTATCCTTGGATCATGTTCCACACAGCTATGTACTTCACTCTTAGGCTTCCAAATTTCTAGATCTGATGGAATACCACACCACCTACTAAAGTAGTCATAACCAATATCGATGTGTGTTTATATTGTTTTGATGTGCAAATACATGACGCTATACAAAGATTTATGTCTGTGAATCGTTTCCTTCCAGGAACCCTCTTGTATCTGGTGGATGTTCTTCATTTGTGATGAAACTAATGCCTATTTGTTACAGGTTTCCAGACTCCCCACTACATATAAGAACCATTATTAAAAATGGGAATAATTACTTCTGGTTTAAGGAAACACATTTTGAATTGCCTGTATAATGATGTCTCAAGATATACTTTGTAAGTATTTTGAATTATCCACAGAATAATAGTTAAAGACACTGATGTGTTACATATAACCTTTTAGTTGTGTTTTTTATGTATTTTGGTATAACTTGCATAAAAAGTTATTTGGTGAAAGTAATTCAGATTACTCCATGAAACAATTTAAAATATTTTGTTGGTATCTTGGAAGATTTTATTAAACGGTGGCATTGACACTAACGTCAGTTTATTCCCGTTTGAAGGGTAGTGGATATCCAAATACTATTTTATTTTTAGGTTTGTTATTTTTACTGCCATTGTTTCAGTATTTTTTGTAATTTTTTAGTTATATTTTATTATTTTAAAAACAATGTAAATCAGTTTTGACCTATAAGTATGTGGTAATGCTTTAAAATAGTTTAAGCCTAGAAAAAACAAATTAAAATATTGTTTTCAGCTCAGAATGCTGAAGAAAATATGAGGAAAACAATGGAAGGTTCTCATGTGACCAGATTATGTGAGCAGTCTGACCGAAAAAGGAATATTTTAAAACAGAAGAACCTCAACCTCATAAACTAATCAGCGAAACAAATCAGCTATGGACATATAGTCTGATTCTTTGTATTAATACTTGTAGCATTACAGTGCGAAAAAAACAACGACAAATGTAATTCTTATAAATGTTAACAAGCCGGAGCATAGAATCTAAATGTGTCACGTTACGTGTACCTTAATTATTTTACTGTCAGTTGCCTAGATTAGTGTTTGAAAATAATCAGTAAAAACCTTACTGTAATAAGCATTTGAATGGTGTTATAGGGTTTGAAATAAAACTACTTTGTTCAGTAACACAACTAGAAAATGTGGTGGAATTTCATGTTTATGAGAAAATGACTAAGATTCGTATTTTTCTTTAAATTTCTTTGTTTACTAATATTTAAATCTTGATTATAATCAGAGTACTTTATATTGACAGAACTGAATTCTTTCATGTTGATGACATTCTACTTGGAGTAGCATGTGCGTGTGCAGCTTTTTGGATAATCATTAGTAGTTACACAAGAAAGGTGATAAAATTTCTAAGAGTTTTAGAAATTATCTTTGTAAAAAAAAAAGTTATTCGAAACCACAAAGTGTGATAACGAAGGTTGTGCCAGGAGTAAACAGAAGAACAGGGAATAAAAATTGAAAACGATTGACGATAACGTGGTCACGTAGCATATATCCTAACAGATGAATGCCGTACATGTGTTAATGAGAATAAAAGATGCTAATAGATGTGTTATATATCTAATACTATTGTTATTATCCACAAATAAACAATCAATTATTCACTGCTGAATAGCACAGCGATATATCTGCGGACTTACAACGCTAGAAACCGGGTTTCGACACCCGTGGTTGGGAGAGGACAGATAGCCCATTGTGTAGCTTTGTGCTTAATTCCAAACAAACAAAGACTGCTGAACATGTATATCTAACGTGATACTAAAGTGTTACTGTCAATAAGAATAAAGGTACTTACTGAAAAGTAAGTGATAGTGTATTTTACTCCCAACAAGAATGCTGTAAAAAACTAGTGCTTTATTTCATTTTAGGAGTATTACTACCCTTTTACTTTAAGAGTGTGAAGACTTATAGACCTTCACCTTAACTGACTTACGGCATATTTCTGGTCATTCAGTAGAAATTAAGTTAGATATTTGAGTTTAAATTATAACAATACGACAAGAGTGGACTTAAAGTGCAAATAACTTATCCATAAAAGTAAATTTCTTATTTATTTTCTTTAAGTCCCCTTACAATATTATCAATTTATGCTTTTTAACATCAGAAATAGAAAACAGGGTTAAAAAGAACAAATAAAACGCTGTCCTTTCGTTCTTTGAATGAATCCTAAGGGTTGGTCACTCTAACATCTCTGAAATGACACAAAACACGAACAGTTTGAATATATTAAAAATAATACTTAGTTTAAGTTAATTTTAGGGTATTAAACACACACATATACAAAAAAAAGACGTAACGCAAATAAATAGGTGAAAATGGAAGAAACTAATCTCTTGAATTTTAATTCATTCTATTTTTAAATATGGAGATATATATATATATATTTATTGGTACCCTAATATGACGTTACACCATAGGAACTAGATCATTGCGGATTGAAGTATGTTAGGCTTAAAGACAGTGTACAATAATTAACATATCTTGCACATAAACTCTTGTTTTATAACCATACCTTAGGGTTAAAATACCTAAGAGAAATTGACAGATATGAAGCATTCTTCTGTGATCTGTCTATATGCTTCTTTTTCTGCGAGCTGTAATAAAGAATTAACAAGTAAAACAAACTTTCATCAAAAAAGGTGAAAAACAACTTGAACCGAAAAATAAAAGCATTAGGTATGACACTATTTATTAATGAGACATTGCAATGGTTTTTCCGTCAACAGAATATAACATTTTAAAATACTCTCCCATCTAGTGACTGTAGACAATCAGAATAAGGAGAATAGAAATTTCTAGACATCAACGTTGACATTGAAATTTAAAAATTAAAAACTACATAAAAATACAATATTTTATATTGTACCATGTACAGTGAATAATAACTGCTCTAAACTAAGGACATTAAAACAACCGTTATATTTGTAACATGCATTATTTAGGGTTACTGATAAGATGTCGTATTTAAAAAAAAATTCTTATGCAAAGAAGCACACCTAAAAGCTTCAATACTACACGTTAATCGATGATTATGGTATATATTAAACTAAATAAAACAAGCGCTTATAACAGATGTTTTAGTCATTGCTCACTAGAATAACGTAGAGTAATGAATCTTCCAAGTATAATTCTCTACGTAGATTAGATTATGAAATATACATGCTATATCAATCCCCATATAACTGTATTGATGTTGAGGCGGCCATATTGGACGCATAAAGTGTTGTACATATTTCAAATAGAAATATAAGTAATAAGTAATTATATAA